ACTATTACCTCTATATAAAGCGGAAGAGTTTGCTTTTTGTTTGTTTGTTTGAACGCGCTAATCTTCGTAACTAAAAGTCTGATTTGAATAATTCTTTTTGTGTTGGATAGCGCATTCATCGAGAATGGCTATAGGCTATAAAACATCACGCTACGACCAATAGGAGTTGAGCAGAGCGTGTGAAACCGCGCGGAAGTAGCCAGTGATAGATAATAGGTTAATAAAATAATTGAATACTCACGTCTAACCTGCCTTTTATTCCTTTTAACGTACGCAGAAACGACCGGAGAATCCTGCATATAATTCGCCCCAAATGCATCTAAGTTATTCTGCAATAAGTTGTCCACGTCCAGAGAATTTTCGCGGAAGATGAAGTCGCCCAATCGACTCTTGTCGTAAAGGTTTTCTTTGATTTTGTTGCGAACCCAAACGCCTTTGTTCACTATATTATTTCTTTCTAGTTTCGGTTTTAGGTAGTTGGCCTCTGATTCCAGATAGTCGCAGAGACCTGAGTTTTTTAAGAACACCAGAACAATGATAGTTTTCGAAAACATATTAGGTACATTTCTCGACGTGCAATGACTTGTGAATGGTAGGAATGCTGCTTATGAGTATCGTATGAATTTTCGTACGTTTTGTTTGTAAACTTCTTAAGGCATAGTGTTGGGTTGTGTCGATATCGATGTCTGATGATCATTTTCGTTGCTTTCTAGGAAGATTTTCGGCTATACCCTGATTACATAACATAACATCACGCCTTTTATTCCGAAGGGGTAGGCAGAGGTGCACATTATGCCACTGTACAATGTAACACCCACTTTTCACTATTTATGTTACGAGTTCCATGTAATAGGGGGTGAGCCTATTGCCATATACCGGGCACAATTCCAAACCCAGTAATACTTTGCCCGACCCGGGAATCGAACCCGAGACCCCTTGCTCGGCAGTCGCACTTGCGACCACTCGGCCAACGAGGCAGTCTTCCCTGATTAGTTATATTATATTAAGATTAGTATATACCTATATTAGGAATAGAAACCTAATTGACATTTTATTCAAAATCAAAAATATGAAGATATAAGAAAAAACATATAACCTCTCGCGCGTTTCTTCTACACACGGGTGTACGAGAGTGACTTGCAAAGATTGGAAACTTTTTCTGTGATGTATATTTTCAAGTTGCAACCCGTTCTTTATTTGATTGAGCAGAATAGTTCATTCGCTTTTTATTAAACCCGTGTACGAGACGCGCGAGAGGTTTCTTTTTTAAGAGGGGAAAATCATCGAATGACTGCTCCCGCCTCACCCAGGCGGGAGCAGTATTGCAATGATTTCCCCCCCTTAAAAAAAAAA